CACTCTGTCTCACTCTGACTCTTGCATGTGCATATATACACTCTATCATGAATTTAATAAACAAAGTTAAGGTTTTTCCCATAGGGCATGTGCATTCACCAGAGAGGAGAGAGACAGAGAAACACAGAAAGAGGGAAAGTAAGAAATTGCTTCTGAGGGGATGGTAACATTACAATCCCTTCTCCTCCATTTTCCTCCTGAGATTTTGGGCACGCACATGTGCCCAGCGTGAGTTTTAAGCCACTGGGTCCAGAACGTGAACCGCGGTCGACTACGTGGGAGTCCAGTGACATAGCCATTACGCCAACTGCTGGTTCCCTGCAATACATTTTTGATAAATCAAATTTCTGCTGCTTCTATTATAACCCCAAACTCAACTCAGCATAAAGAGAATTCTAGAAGTGACTCCTTTACTTGCCTGCTATGTATCTCAATAATTTCATACTGCCATGCTTGAGAGAGAAAGGAACATTGGCTGCCTTCTTATTTCAAATTGCACAGGCGAAATTCTGTACCTGCAACTCAAAGTGATTGCTCTTTATTTCCAAAACGTTGTTTCTCTCTAACATAAGTTTAATTCAATTCAGCATTCATTGAACTCTGTGGGCCAAATACTTTACTGGGTCCTAGAGAGATAGAAACCACAAAAGCAAGTAACTTACCCTCAAAAAGTTTCATTAATTCTAGAAGGGAGACAGCTATGTAAATAAATGATGGCAACTTTGCTGGATAGTTTAAAAAAAATCCATGTGTAAGGAAAATGGGTGGTACAAACAAAGAAAAGTTAATTCTCTCTACGAGAAGGTATTGCTGAAGGTGGGAAAAAACGTATTAGCTATCGGCACCAGCAGAGGTGTAATGGTAATGGCAGTTGCTGAACTGCCATATAGTTGACTGTGGTTCAAGTCCTGGACCCGACTAATTAAAACTCACGCCAGGTACGTGTGTGGGTGCGTGCATGCCCGAGATCCTGAGAGGAGAACGGAGGAGAAGGGATTGTGGCATGGCCGTCCATCCGGGGGGTGATTTCTTGCTCTGTGTCTCTCTGTCTCTCTGGTGAGCACACCTACCCAATAGCATAAATCTCTAAAAAAGAAAGAAAAGAAAGAACATATTAGCTATGTCCTTGAGATGAAGGGGAGACCAGGCAAAGTGAGGTAGAAGAGAGGGAAGTTGTTAACGGATGAGACAACATGTCAGCAAGCCATGACAGAACATAGATGCCAAATTGATAGGTTGGACTCAGATCAATGTAAACAATATGCACATCATTAGATATTTATTTATTTATTTTGCTATAGTGCACATGCATTCACCAGAGAGAGACAGAGACAGAGAGGGATAGTAAGAAATCACCCCCCAGGGAGGATGACCACACTGCCATCCTTCTCCTTTAGTCACCTCTTGGGATTTGGGGCATGCATGGAACATGAGCCCAGTGTGATTTTCTTTTCTTTTCCTTTTTCTTTGTTTTTTTTTTTCTTTTTTTTTTTTTTTTTTT